TGTTTGTCTTATTAACACTTTTACGATCAAAAAAACCAAGTTGAAACAACCCCTTAGGACCTATTTTTGCTCTCTGATCTTTCAAATACATTCTATCTTCTAATGGAACCTAAAATAAAAGTACAATTTATTATTTAGTAGCAATATATGTATATATATATATATATATATATATATATATATATATATATATATATATATATATATATATATATATATATATACAGTGGGTGCTCATATTGTTAGAAACACAACCAAATTTTAAAAACTTTGTGAATCAAGTTCAAAATTAACAAAACGTTTTAACAAAATAATTTTTTTTATTTTACAAATAGTATGTATGTACCTTTTACTTTAATCTGGGAGTTTGGCAACATTGCATTTCATCTCATTATGAAGTTATAGGGTTTTTCCCGAATTTTGACAATTTTGGCAGTTATACCTGTGTTGTTGTCGCGTGAAGTGTATTTGTGTATTGCTCTCTTTTTAAAGTTTTCAAAGATTTTTTTATTGTTTTGTTATTGAGTTCTATTTATGTGTCTATTTTTTACAGTTAAACATGATTAAATTAATATTTTTACATATAATTTGACTTCTATAACGGTTTACTAGAATCACGTGTTTTTTTCAATATGGGAAAGGCAAAAGATGTTTCACCCTCAAAAAAAAGAGAAGTTGGAGCATTATTCAAGAATACTTCTTATTCTCAAAGGTGTATAGCATCAATGACAAAGGTTTCAGTGGCAACAGTCAACCGAATAAAAAAAAATCTGGACAAAAATGCTGATTATACTCCTCAACGAACAGGACATTGTGGTAGAAAACGGCTAACAACGCCAAGAGACGATAGAAAAATACGAGATATTTGCCTAGAAAATAGGAATAAGCCTAGGCGAATACTAACCACTTTAATACAAGATGCTGGAATACCAGTATCTCCAAAGACAGTTCGTCGTCGACTCAAAGAACAAGGATTTCGATGCTGTCGACCTGCTAAAAAGCCTAAGCTCACTCTAGCAATGCAACAAAAACGCCTTGCTTGGGCTAAAAGTCATCGGCATTTAACCTTCGATGACTGGAAAAATGTAAGTACTTCATTTATAATTGTACACATTCCATTTAGAGATTTGCCTACATTAAAACTTTGACTTATAAGTTTTTTTGATGTTGTTTAGGTATGTTTCTCGGATGAATCGACAATCCAGATATTGATGAACAAATCACAGTTTGTGCGTAGACGAGCTGGAGAAAAATTTCACAAAGACTGCATCTTAGAACGTGTAAAGTTAATGTGAACGTGTAAGTATAATGGTATGGTCTGTCATTAGTGGACATGGAACAGGGCGTTTATATATCGTTGAGGGAACTATGCGCCAGGACCAATACATAAAAGTTCTTGACACAAGATTGGTACCACAGTTGAAGGAATGGTTCCCAAAGAACCAAAAATTTACATTTATGCATGATTCTGCCCCATGCCATAAAGCAAAGAAGGTTACAGAGTACCTAAAAGCAAAGAAAATTCCAGTGCTACCATGGCCTGGAAACTCACCAGATTTAAACCCTATTGAAAATCTGTGGGAGATCATGAAAAGGGAAATTGCTTCTGAAATGATCACCAACAAAATACAATTAATTGAAAAGATGATCAAAGTCTGGCACAATAACATAGATATTCAAAATAATGCAATAAAATGCATAGAAAGTATGCCAAGATGTGTAGAAGCGGTAATAAGTGCCAAGGGAGGGATAACAAAATACTAAAATAAATCACCAATGTGTAATCTTTTGCTTGTACAATAGTGGAATTATTTTAAAAAAATATAAATAAGTATGTTTTTTATAATAAATATAGACCGCAACACTCAAAAGTTACGAAAAAATAGTCTGCAACCTTTTTATTTCTGTAATAAATAACCTTTAACACATAATTTTCAAAAAAAAGACAGTGTTTCTAATATATATATATATATATATATATATATATATATATATATATATATATATATATATATATATATATATATATATATATATGGCTTTAATATTATTAAAATTAATAATATTAATATTATTATATTATTAATATTATTAAAAAATGTCAACCTTTCTATCCAGTGGGCATGTGCAAACTATATGTTTGTGTTTGACAATTTTCTTCTACGCACTTTACAAACTTATCATTACAAGAACGAACAGGTAGATTACATTTGCAAGCTGAAATATCAAAAAGCATGTCTAAAGTTTTCTCGAGGTTATTACGCTTCACTTTAGAAAGAGATTTTCGGTTAATCTGTTTTGTTTTGATGAAGCATAATTTATTTATTAACTTTACCACATAATAATGTTCATATAGTGGTAACTTTAGATTAAGAGTCTGCCATATTTTTATGACATTAAGTGCTATCATTTTTGCAATGTCATAATCTTTCAAGTCTTGGTTGATGTCTTTAAGGAAATAGTTGTATTGAATAATCTGGCGAATGGTTGGTGGCTCTGCTTCATTTAAAGGTGAAGGCTGACCACCAAATTTTTTAGCAAAACTGCCACGTGTTGAAACAACCTTTTGGTTTTTAGGTATTTCATTAAAACTTATTATTATAAACAAAATATGTTTAAGCAAATATAATGACTTCAAAAACAATTACAAATCTCTTTATTTGTTTATTTATTTTTGTACAAGCGCGAAAATTTACGCTAATTTTTGAAAGTAACATTACGAGAAAGTTTCAAAGAAATATATTAAAATCATTAGCTTTTTTAAATAAATAATTGTTTTCTTATAGTAATTGTAAAAATATTTTAACTATGATATGATTAATCTTAAACATTTGCTTTTTGAAATGATTAAAGATATTTTCTCCCAACACCTATAAATATTTACATTGAAACTTGAATCATGTCAATAATATTCAGTAAATATATACAAATCCTCAAAAAACTAATAAAAGTTGTTGAAAAAGCCTTTATAAAATGAAAATAATATATTTTTAGGCATCTTTCTCAACTAGTCCAAAACTTCAGTTCCAACATCGACCTACCTTAATATATATAATATATATAATATATATATATATATATATATATATATATATATATATATATATATATATATATATATATATATGTATATATATATGTGTGTATATATGTATATATGTGTGTGTATATATGTATATATGTGTGTATATATATATATATATATATATATATATATACATATATATAAATACATCACCATAATACAAAAATTCAAATTGATGCAATTAGGTGGAATTAAGGTTATAAAGATTTTATGAGTTTAATTGATTGCTCTGAAAATCTTTGTCATCACAGTAGAGACTGATTTAAATGGTAATTGGGTACTTTTTATTCTAAAACAAGTTATTAATGGGCAGACTTCCGATGTTAAGTTACTTTTTTTGTAAAGCAAAAATAACATTTATTTTAAGTTGTTTTCAAAGGAGGATATTGACTAAACTTGAGCAAATTTAGAAAAAAAAAAATTTAGATGGTAGAGCAGTTCCTGGTACAAGGATGTATTATCATTTTATTCCTATAAGTTTAAAAACAATAAGTTATAAAAAAAAAAGTGTGGATACATATACTAAAGTATTTGATATTGTTCCAAAAAACAAAAATAATAAAGAGATTTGATTAAAAATTAAAAATAAATAGAGTATATTGCATGTTTTTATGAGGATAGGGATTGCTAAAGATGCAAATGATTTTGATATCAAAGTCAGATTCATGCAAACACATAGACCAGTTAAAAATTTCTTTTTGCCAATAAGAAATGATGAGTGCTGTGTGCCTAACTTTAAAGTTATATGCATAATATTTACACCCACAACAATATCAGGTGTCTGATTTAAAAGTCTGATTTAGATCTAAAGGATATAAGGAATTGGTTATAAAAAAATAGTTAAAAAAAATAAAAATATAAAATAATGTTGTAATTTATTAACATATTTTTAGTAACTTAATATTTGTTTTTTCTTTCTTTTCTTTTTTTTAAATCTGGTGGGAGATGGGGGAGGGGGTTAGAGAGAAGTACTTGTCTCCTTTATACGTCCAAGATTAAATATGTGCTAAACTTGTTAATAAATAACACTATATTGAATTTTAATTAAAAAATTGTTTTAAAAAACATTTTATTTTCTTTGTTTCAAAAGTTTTTCGAAAATATGAAAAGACATTATTTTTGAGTGCTTACTTTGATCAAATATTAGAGGGACAATACATGAATTTAATTTTTTTCAGTACACCTAAGATAAAGTAATAATATACAATCAATTTTTTTGCCAGCAATTTTGGGTGACAGCCTCCATTTTAGCTCCAAAAATCAATAATTTATAAGTATAAAATTTTGAAAAAAATTGAATGAGGCTTGAGACTATCAAGTCCTAATAGTTTTTTAAATTCCTTGAGCAAAAATCTATTTGGGTTCTAAATTTAAGAAAAATCCTCCAAACCATTGTCAAGATGTTACATCTCAAAGTTGCTTTGTTATCTCTTCAGATAACCACAAAAATGCTGAATCAGCATTATTTTATATGATCTCAACAGCCTATGTAATTTTTTATCTAAAATTTTTTAGCAGTCATTCATTTAATATAGACTGCAAATGATGTAAAAATAGAACAATTCTGGGATTTATGACAACAATTTTTTTTGTGGATAATTTCATATGGAAAGATCCTAAATAATCAACTATAAATTTCAGATTAAGTGAAACAAAACAAATTTTTATTTCTATCAAGTATCTTAAAATAAAAATAATTTTTGTTTATCTTTGTTAATTGTTTATCTTTGTTAATAATTTTTACCTTTGTTAATTGTTTATCTTTTTTTAGTTTTACTAAAAATTGTCAATAAACTTTGCTTAATGCTCTGCTTATTATGTTATTTTTCACTCAGATATATTTATTTATAAATATTTTTATAAAATTTTACATTTTCATGTTGTCTGATTTATATATGTATTTAATTTTGAACAGGTGTGGTCAGACTTGGCATTCATAGTGTAACTCAAAAACGAGTTGCTATAAAGATAGTTGACAAGAACAAGATTCCACCCAATGTTTTGGCAAAGGTATGACCTTTACTTTTTATTTTCTTATTTTAACAGCATCAATTGTTTGTAAGCTTTGCTTCATTTATTTAAAATACTATATAGCATGAACCCAAGATTTGACTTTGACTGGGAGCTGGTTTAATAAATAAGGCTTGGGCCAGGTTTTCAGACAGGGCTGATGCAAGGAATCATAGTTTTTTGGATTATTAAGGAGGCGCTGAAAATTTAAAGTTATTATCATTATCACCATGGATTTTATTGTAATTATCATCATCATCATCATTGTATTCTTTATTTTTTTAATGTGCACTTGTATAGGTTATTTTTTTTTCTTTCTGAGTTTTCTTATTCTGATTTTTTTTTTTTAAAAAAAAGATATCTCTCTGTATGACTACCTTGATGATATATGTACAAACTACCTTGATGATGTATGTACAAACTACCTTGGTGTATGTACAAACTATCTTGTTTATGCTCTGTATGAATGATCTTGACCTTTGATTGAATTATAAAAAGCAGCACATCTTGTTTTTTTTTAAATGTCTCCTCTTTTTTTTTTCTTTTCCCCAGTGCCTTAATTTTGCTACATGATGAGCCTAAGCAATTTCAGAAATATGTTTTATGTCTTTTTATAAAATCAAGTTTAATCAGAATAAATCCACAATAAAATAATATTTTTAATTCTAAAAGTTTTTTTAACTAATTATTTCATCAAGATCCATTGTCATTAACATGATTGTCACTTTCATTATTCCAGCATTCTTCCTCTTTTTTTTAACTCACTTCCAAAACTAAGCAGTATACTTCTTTTTTTTTTTCTTCTATTTTTTGTTTTTTTAATTTTCATTATCCTTTTTATTTCTTTGTTATCTTCAGAATTAGAATCAGCTTCTACATTTTCATTTCTATTAAGTTATTTCTATTTTTTTTTTTTTTTTTTTTTTTTGTTATAATGGTTATCATGAACTATTACATCTTTACCTTTGTTTCCTAAATTTTTATAGTAAGCATCAGTACTAGGCTATATTTTTTGACTTTTTTGGTTTTAAAAATTTTATATTATTTTAAATGATTCAAGAAAAATAAGTTTATAATCAAATATTTGTTTTATATATATATATATATATATATATATATATATATATATATATATATATATTTGTATATTTGTATATTTGTATATTTTATCACTTACGGGGACAAATTTTACAAATGAAAACTTTCAGGGACATTATCAGGGGCATTTTAGTGTACCCATTATTTTAACTTTCAGGGACATTATCGAGGACATTAGTGTACCCGTTATATTAATTTTTAGGGACGTTATCAGGGACATTTTAGTGTATCCTTTAATTTTTTGTCCCCTGTAAGCATTATTTTATTAGTAAAAAAATGTACCCATAAGAAACTTTTATAGAGAACGAAAAGTACATACATCGACTATCAAATAGTCTGACTTGCAAGGGAGTGCTGCTACATTGACTGAGGTTGGGTTAGGCCAGGCATCAAGGTTTAGGGTTAAGGTTATGGCAAGGTTTAAATTTGGTTATATTGTAATTAATCCTTTTGTAAAGTAGATGAAGTTAAAAATGAAATTAAATATAAAATAAATAAATGAAAATAACAAAAATTAATATAAAAAATATATTTTTATAAAAAAATAATAAATTTAAATATGTATAAATAAAAATAGAAATAAAATAAAAGTTAAATAAATATATATAAAAATGATAAAAATAGTATAAAAAAGTAAAAAAAAAAAAGCATAACGGGAAAAAAAAACATGTCTCCGAAAGTCGCGACTATATATACATATATATATATATATATATATATATATATATATATATATATATATATATATATATATATATATATATATATATATATATATATTTGACTGATAAATAGCCTGACTTGCAAGGGAGTGCTGCTACATCGACTGAGGGTTTTGTTAGGACAGGCATATATATATATATATATATATATATATATATATATATATATATATATATATATATATATATATATATATATATATATATATATATATATATATATATATATATAATTAAATTGTTATACTTTTTCCCTATTTTTTTCAAAAGTTTTTGGTTTACCAGAATTTTTTTAATGAATATTAATATGAAGAAGAGGATAAGAAAAAAATTTTGATTGCTTAAATTATTATATATATATATATATGTATGTGAAGGTAATCTAACTAGGAGGAAAGTTTTGATATAAAATGTCAAATTAAATTGTGGGTAAGAGTAGGAAGAGTTTCAAAAACTTTCAATGGTTTCCAAGTGATTGCATCACAATAAAAATATTCATTTATGATTTGCAAAACATTTACGCCAGGGTATGAATTTTGTTGTGATAAGTTGCTTCAACTTTTACATTATGTCTTATTTAAATAAGAAAATATTATTATGGAAAGTCATCCAGACCACACAAGTATGGAATTATGGGTGCTAAACATCAAACATATGGAACTTTTGAAAAATACATGTTTGTGTTTTTATGTACATAAGCTCTATAAATAACAGAGCTATTATAACGCTGTTCTTTTTGTTTTAAGTTTTGTTTAAAACAAAATAATAGTTAACTTACTTAATTGTAGTTAATTGTACTCCTGGTACAATTCCCGTCCTGGCAGATATGGAGTACCTGGTAGCAACAGATACAAACTGATATTAGTTGTTAATGTTTTAAATGATTTTTTGTCTGTTTTTTGACTTTCCATTGCATGGGTGCTAAAAAAAATAAATTTGGTTTCAAAGCTATTTTTTTTTTTGTATTTTTTTTTTTTTATAGGTGACATTTATTTTTTTAACTTTTTTATGTTAGTTAGTTGATAAGTTTTGCTGTAACTGGCTTTATAAGACAGTGAGTATGCCTTTAAGGATACAGTGACAGCCTAATCAATCAATTGTTGTTTGTCCATTAGTCAAATATTGCTTTAAAGGAGATAACTGAGGTCAACTTCACAAGTTCTGAAGGCATTGAATTCCATGGTTTTGCAGATTTATTGTAAAAAAATTTATGTCTTCATAGATTTTTTTTTGTTTTTCTGTAATATTTGAAACAGTGACCTCTAACTTGATTTTTAACAATCTCTATGTTGTTTTCTGTTTTATTTATTTTGCTCATGATTTTATATAATTGGATTATATTGTCCCTTTCTCTCTGTTCAGCTAGAGTTTGTCAATCCTAAATACTCTTTATGACTTCACCATCGAATTGATTTAACCAATTTGGTGGCTTGATGCTGCACTTTTTCAATTACTTTACAGTTTTAAGTATGGGGACTAAACTGGCACTGAAAACTCTTTTTTTTAAAAAGTATAAATTTTTTTTAAATAAAATTTATACTTTACTATTAAGTTTTGCAATAATATATATATATATATATATATATATATATATATATATATATATATATTAATTTATAATAAATAGTTTATTTAGAAATGAAAGCTATATAAGTTGTATATAAATTAAAGCTTACATTATTTTACTTGTAACAATAGACCAAAAGTATTTTTTTTAGGTCGAAAGAGAAATTACCATTATGAAGTTAATTGAACATTATAATGTTCTTCATTTAACTGATGTTTATGAAAGCAAAAAAAGTTTGTAAGTATAATTTTTTATTTTCTAAACTGGCAACTACTTAACTTCATTTGAATTTCAAGGGACTTCTTAGGATCTTAAGGATTTCTTAGGTTCCTCTTTATGACCTTACCCAATATGTTCTTTTGTATTTTGATTCCAAAACAGTTCAGTGAGATAAAAATTATTTGTTTAAAATTTTTTTCAATATCCACTTTGTTTAACATGCATCATATTCTCATGTATATACTTTTTTTTTATATATGCATACATTTTCAAGACATCTCCATGATGAAATAAAGATGACTTAATAATTTATTTCTCATCTATTAATTTGATGTATGTGGTTAATTCACAATAATATACCTATATAATAAACAAAAAAACATAAATACTTCACAAACCCAGAATTTTTTTCTGATCTTTTGTATCTGCTTTCAGTGATCCTACAGACTACATGTCATAATATGTAACTCGATTTATACAACCAATTATTTTTACATGTTTCAAAACCACTAACTACAACTTCACAATTACCTGTTTATAAATGGTTTACTCCTTTATTATGTTATAATTATTTTTATTTAAGATTTTTGGTCTTGGAATATGTTGGTGGAGGAGAGTTATTTGATTATCTAGTTAAGAGGGGGCGCTTACAACTTAATGAAGTAACAATGTTTAGTTTTGTATCGACTCAACAATGTTTATATTTATAACTTTAGTTATTTAAGAGATAATTTAAGAGAAAATTATTAACATTTATTAATAATTTTTTTGTTGTAAATTTTTATTGAAATTAAAAATAATTTTTTTTTATCTGTGGAATGTCAATTTAGGCTCAAAGATTTTTCTGTCAAATTGTTTCAGCTGTTTCATTCTGTCATGAACACTTAATATGGTAGGTGATTTATTAGGAAAAATGTAAGCATCATTTAGCTTAAAAATTTATAGTAAATGACTAGAAAAAATTTTAGTATTACAAGAAATAGAGTTGCGCATCGCAGTTTTTAGAAAAAAACTGACTCAAAAAACTGATTGAAAAAAACTGATTTTTCAGGATTTTTTCTAAATTTTTTTGTTTTTCAAGTATTTTGACAAGACACACTTTTACAAGACATGACAAGATACATTTTTTGCAAGATTAGTTGATGCAGTTACAGCTTAGGTTTTTGGAAGTTTTAAATTACTTTTTTAGGTTACCTTTTATTTTTTGATAATATTAGTTGATTATGACATTTCTTTCTATTTAATTTTTTTTAGTCATCGCGATTTAAAACCTGAAAACCTTCTTCTTGATGATCAAAATAACATTAAAATTGCAGACTTTGGAATGGCTTCTGTACAAGTAAGATTAACAAATATGCATTTACGTGTATACAACCATTTATTTATAATATTTACAATACAATTATAGTATTTATTTTTACCTTTTTTTTTTTTTTGGTTTGTTAAAAGTTAAAAGTAAAAAGTATTGAATAAAAATTGATAAATTTAAAACTTGATGGTTATGCAATTGTCGATCACATGATTGATGACCAAGCAATTTCTTAAAATTAAATATAATAAAAGAGTTTTTTGTTTGACTGGAATATGACATATATATAATAATAAATATTTTTATTTAGTAACAAAGTTACTAAATAAAATCTTTGTTGTTGTTTTTAATAATTCTAATGTTTTTTTTTTAATGTTTCTACTTTAGGTTGAAAATAATATGCTTGAGACAAGCTGTGGGTAGGCGAGTTACTTTAATCTAAAATAGAATTTTATTTTTTTAAACGTTGCAATAAAAAATAAACTTTAATTTTTGACAAAATTAGTGAATAACTTTGGGATTTTTTGTTTTTTACATATTTTCGTTTTACTAATTTAGCTCACCTCATTACGCTTGCCCAGAAGTTGTGCGGGTAAGTTATTGATTTTAGTGTGCATATTAGCACTTTTTAAAAATGTTCTTAAGGGTTGCTAATAGTGCTGATATTATGAGTGTTAATTTAAAATGTTATCAAATAACAATTTATGTTATATAGGGCATACCATATGATGGTCGTAAGGCTGACACTTGGAGTTGTGGTGTTATATTATATGCACTAGTTGTGGTAAATGTTTTTCCTGCTTTTGATTGTCAGAATATTATTTTATTACTAAAAAAGCAACAGAGATTTATTCTTTCATTCTTTCTCTCACTTCTCTCTCTTTCTTATCACACTATCACTCCTCTTTCTCTCTCGTTTTCTCTCTCTCTCTCTTTATATATATATATATATATATATATATATATATATATATATATATATATATATATATATATATATATATATATATATATATATATATATATATATATATATATATATATATATATATATATTTATATATATATATATATTTATACATATCAGGCTTGGTTGGGAAGCGGGTGCGATCGTACTCGATAACTGACCATGGAAATAATATTAAGTTGCGAAAAACCGGACAGAATTTTCAGACGTTTTGAGAACATTCAAGTTTATGTATGTTTCCTTGTTTGTCCGCAAAATAATAATTAAGTTCATTATTTTATTGTAAATTTTAAAATATTTTGTTTTAAGGACTTACATGGAAGCATACATAAACTCTAATGTTCTTAAACATCTTAGTGTGGAAAAATCAAAAAAAGAATATTCGCGAACACAAAAAACCCGCCAAATCTACGGACAATTAATTCTATTGGTTCAAAAAATACTAGCCGCATTTTCTAGAGTATTCAAAAAATACTAACCAAATGTTCAGAGTATTCTGTTGAAATATTTAAAAAATTGTATTATGTAAGTTTTGTTGTTTTCGTTGAGATTTCTAGCATAAATTGTTTTAAGAATATACTATCAAACGAAATATTATTTTAATACTATAACTCACTCTCGGAGTCACATCTACAAAGCTATAAATGTTTTAAACTAACATTATCTGATTTCTAGAATAAGTGTTTTAAATTTATATTTCTTAACTTGTCAACGTTTTGTCAATGAAATAAGACATATCGAAGAACATTTGTTTCCTTATTAAACAATCATTAAAAATAAGTTGTTACTTTATATAAAAAATGTCACTTAATTTTATAAAAAAAATTATAAAAGAGCGATGTTTCAAAAATATTTGCTGTAATTGTATTTATTTTGCTTGAATTTTTTTCGTGTTAAAAGCTTTTAACTGTCTCTCATCGGTTCAGTTAATCTTATTGCGCTTTTTTTTTTGTTTTTGAAATGTTCTCAAAATGACTAAAAAATGTGGCTAGTTTTACGCAACTTAATATTATTTCCGTGGTCAATTATTAAGTGCAATTGCACCCGCTTCTCGACCAAGCCTGATATATATATATATATATATATATATATATATATACATATATATATATATATATATATATATATAATATATATATATATATATATATATACATATATATATATATATACATATATATATATATATACATATATATATATATATATATTATATATATATATATATATATATATATATATATATATATATATATATATATATACACATATATATATATACATATATATATATATACATATATATATATACATATATATATATATATATATATATATATATATATATATATATATATATATATATATATATATATATATATATATATATATATATATATATATATATATATATATACAAACCTTGTAATGAAGAAGGAGCGATTGCTTCACACACATGAAACAACAAATAGCGCTCCCTAGTTTCATTATGAGAGTAAAAAATTGCGTTCCTCTGAAGAACATGCGAGGAAGAAAATTATAAATTGATTTTATAGAAAATATTTTAGTAAGATTTTTTTGCTTAAATGTCAAAATATGTTTAAACATTAGAGTTTGCATATTGTTAAATAAAGAAGCTATATTCCTAATAATTTATGCGTGATATACTTTAATTTTAATTTATGCAGCCTAAGTTCAAATTAAAAATATTAGTACAAGAGAGCTAAATTCAGCATGATGTTTTTTTTTTTAATTCTAGTTAAACTTTATAATATTATCCGCCTAATCGTACAGTTTTTTAGGGTCTATTTGACAAAAACTTCACTTAACTAGAACTTTTACCTTGAATACATTAAAGTCCATGTAATAAAATATCAAAACTTGCAATACTTAAAGGGACCCCCAAGTCCCGAGACATGTGCTGTTCATATTAAAGAGAATGTTAAAAAAAAACGTCTGAGCAATTTTTTTTTATTAAAACTAATTAATAAATGTAAACCAAGAAAAACAAATCTTGTTGTTTTAGTCAAAGCTTGTCTTCTCCATTTTCTGCAGTATTTTGAGTCTTTAAAATAAACGCGATTTTCCAGGCGCATTATACAGACTTGATGATTTATTCAAGTGCGTTTAATTCATAGAAGTTTTATTACATGACGTCATTGGAAACATTCTAAAAATTCTTTAAAAATTTTACTATTAAATTTTACTAAAATAGCTGACTATAGTTAGTTATTTTATTTTCTAAAATCTTCACATTGAAAAAAAATTTATGTTTTTTTTTGTAGCAGAGCCATGGCTACATGGGCCATGGCCATGGTGGACCTAGGGACCCCTATGGCGCCAAATGGAGTTATATAATATCTTTATATATTATAGTTATATAATATCTCATCGAGTTATATAATATCTCGCAGGACTATCGTATAAGTATATATATACTTACACTAATATATTTTATATTAGTATAAGTATTATATATTATATTGTATTAGTATATGTCTATTACTATTATTTTTTTTAATTTTATAAATCTTTGTTTATAGCATTAAATAAAATAGCATTACAAGTAATGAATTATACAATTTTGTCTGTCCTTTAATGTTAATAGTTTTCTAAGAATGCAGGTTAAGAAACATCAATTATGCATTGAAAAGGCAGTAGAGCTCCCAATATTGCTTAGGAGGTAAAGGTCACTGAAGCCATCACGAAGGATACAGAGATATTTTTGAATAAAAGATTTTTGATAAGTAGTAGTTTTTGCGGTGTTAAGAGCATATGGGAATCTACTAGGGTTTCTGCTGTTGGTGTGAGTTAACTTAGTGGTTATAGGATGGTATGAGCCTGCAAGGTTCTTTTTGAGTATATTAATACAGATCCTGTCTAGTAGCTCTTCAATGTCAAAAATAATATTGAAGCTGCTTGAATTGGTTACATCAATTCCAATAATGTGTAGGGCATTTTTATGAAAATGTTGGATCTCTCTTTTTGCAGCAGCGCTGCATGAAGAAAGAATAGGAGCACTATATATCAAGTGGCTAATAGCGTAAGATTGGTAGACCTGTAAAAGGTTTGACTGAAGGTGTCCAAGTTGTTTAAGATGTTTGAGTAGATGGCACTGATTTTATATTGTTGTGAACATTTTTCCACTGTTCATGCCAATCAATATTCTCATTGAGCATGATTCCAAGGTATTTGTGGCTGCTAACTATTTCAAGTTCAGTATCATCGAGTACAGGGAATGGTAAAGCTTGAATTTCAGAGCATCTAGGAATAATTGATATGTTTTTACATTTAGGGCCATTAAGTTTCATTCCGTTTTACCATAGACCAATGAGTGACGCCATCAACAATAGATTGAGGTAGGTTATGAGGAACTTTATCATTAATTGTATAGGTCAGTATATCATCAGCATATTTTTCGAGGATGGTTTCAGGTGGAAGATAGACGTTAATGTCGGAAATAAATAGAATGAACAGGATTGGACCTAGAACACTACCCTAAAGTACACCGGCTTCAATACATTTCCATTTAGTGGTGTGATCATTTGTTTTAATTCTTTGTTGACGGTTAGATAAGTAAGCTGCAATTCAGAAGGTGAGCCAGCTAGGTAGTAAGTTTACTAACTTTAGAAGTAGCTTGCCATGACTGACAATATCAAAAGCTTTTTCGAAATCAAAGAATATTGCATAAATTGATTTGTTGTTACCTTTTGCATGACTCCAGTCCTCTATAATTTGAATAATAGTATCCATTGTACTTCAGCCTGGAAGGAATCTGAACTGTTTGTTTGAGACCCATAAGTGCTTGGTGTGATGGACAATGAATTTGGTGATAATACGTTCAAAAACTTTACACCATGTAGATGTAATGGCAATTGGACGATAGTCATTTGATGAGTGTGGATTAGAAATTTTCGGAATCGGTGTTATGTTTGCTGATTTCCATTGGTCAGGTAGGTAACTGTTTTCTATGAGGCGGTTGAATAGAATGCAGAGCGATGGGGCAATTTCAAAGCGAGCAGATTTGAGTAAAAACGGAGATAGGCCATCTGGTCCTGAGGACCTTGATTTAAGTTTGCTGAGTTGGTTGAGAATGTTATTATAAGTAAAAATTGGGGTAATAGGCGGGTTTGCCTCTCAGTTGATGAAGCATGAGAGGTTAGGTTGTTTATTACCAATCCAAACACTTTGAAAGTGATCATTTAATTAGTTTGTAAGTGTCGCAGAGATAGGGGTGGTGATTTGACCTTTATCAGCAAGACTGATTTCACACCAAAAATCTGTTTTTCTAGAAGTGAAACGCCTGTTATAGATTCTATTTCTTTTGGTGATTATTTAATTTGATTTGCAAGCGATTTCCACTCTTTGTAGTACCCAGTAAAAAAGAGTTTTTGACGCTCTTTTATAAGGCCTTGAATAAGTGGTATCATCCAAGGCTTAGGGTTAACGAGCGTTGTTGATTTTAGAGGTTGGCAGATGTCTTGAGCAGAGAGTATAGAATAATAAAAGTTGTTGCAAGTAACTTGTATTTCATACAGTGAATCAACTAAGGTTTCAATATTGGTAGATCGTATCAGTGCAACAGTGTCAGCAATTCTACCTGACCGGTAAGCAATCCTGTGGAAAACTGGGCGAGTAGATTTATAGAGATTTAGAGGAGGTTGACTAACTACGACAAGGTGATCTGAATTACCAAAACTAGGAAGGGTATATGACACAGCATTTAGGAGCGTTACTCAAGATGATGTCAAGAATAGATGTTTTTCTGATAGGGTGTGCATTAAGATGAATGAGTTAGTGAGAATGACAAATAAAAT